CTCTTTGGCTTCAGAATGGTGGTCTTCTCCACTATCTTCACACGGTCTTCTTTCTGTGCCTTTGTCCTGACCTCCTCTTCTTACAAGGACACTAGTCAAGTTGGATTAGTGCCCACTCCAATGACCTTATTTAACTTTAATTACCTCTTTAAGAACCCTATTTCCAATTACAGCCACATTCTGAGGTAGTGGGGTTAAAAAGTTGAACGTATGATTTTTGAGGCATAGGGAAGGGAGAAGAGAGCATAATTCAGTCTACAACACCGACTTACTCTTTTTAACTATACCGTTTTGTCTAGCTAGCCGGTTAGTCATTTTTCCAGTCCCCATGTAGCTGGAGAAAAAGACTGTTTTCATGCTTATAATGAACAACCTTAAACTAAATCTCTGTACCCTTTTGCAAGTATATTAGCAGAATGAATTTATAGAAGAATTGTTGGCATTATTCTCCAAAGAGATTTCTTGGGTCTCTCTTGAGTGTATAATCATCTCTTGTGGAAAAGGAGAGTATGCAGATTCTACAAATTAAAGCTCTTTAAAAAAAATTTTTTTTGTTTATTTATTTGAGAGAAAGAGATAGAGCATGAGCGAGGGGCAGGGAAAGGGAGCCAGGAGGCTCTCCACTGAGCAGCGAGCCTGGCACAGGGCTCCATCCCAGGACCATGGCATCAGGACTTGAGCCAAAGGCAGATGCCGAACCGACTGAGCCACCCAGGTGCCCCCAAATTAAAGCTCCTAATGTTTTTCATAATGTAATGTTGATATGAGAGATTCAGAGTGTATCATATGAAAGAAAGGATCAGTATGAGTGACATGCTCAAATAAACCTGTAAGTGGCTGGGGCTGGGTATGGGTGCATTTTATTCCAAATTAAGCTCTTCCTGAAAGAAGTGGTAAGTCAGTAGGGCTATGAGATTTTCTAGATGATAGCATAACACTGCTTTTAAAAGTGCTATTTTGGGGCAGCCCGGGTGGCTCAGCGGTTTAGCACCACCTTCAGCCTAGGGTGCGATCCTGAAGACCCCGGATCGAGTCCCACGTCAGGCTCCCTGCATGGAGCCTGCTTCTCCCTCTGCCTGTGTCTCTGCCTCTCTGTGTCTGTCATGAATAAATAAATAAAATCTTTAAAAAAAAAAATAAAAGTGCTATTTTGAATATATACTTGGTATATATGTCAATGTCTAGGTTAAGACAGTGCACTTGTATTGTTGGTTATTGGCATAGTTTGAGTTGACAAGTAACTCTTTGGCTAGTAGAGAATGGCTGTTGGGTTCTAATATTAGGTGTGGATATATATGCACACACACCTGTATATATATACACACACAGATACACACACTTATACATGTGCATGTATATTTTTAAAATACCACAGTATGATAAAGGGTGAAAGTGAAAAGTAAGGAAAGGTTGAAAAGTTAAATCCATACAATGATACATGACTTTAACGATAAGCTTATTCTGAGAAGCCCTATGATTTTCTTCTCACATTTTCTGTAATCACACTCCTTCTGTTACTATTTGCCTTTAAATAATAACAAATAATAATAAATAACATAATTTATATAAATATATAATAAAAATAAAAAATATAAAATCTCTTTATTTTCCCCCTCTGTGCAGATAGTTTAAATGTTGATTGTGCTATGGGAACGTTCTATCATGGGAAACATTTACTGTTTAAAAATATTTCTTTTCCCAAATAGAATAAATCTTTTATTGGATTTGAGTTTGCAATACAGTAAGACTGGTTATTTAAAGCCATAGAACTAAAAAAATTAGCAGCCAGCAAAGGAGAACGTTGGGCAAGAATTTGGGAGGTGAGGAGGAGGAAGGCAAGGGTCCAGAGAAGAGATCGCTGTGTGAGTGGAAGGAGAGAGAGTGTGTGTGTGGGGGGATTTGGATCTATAGGTGGAAAGGGGTCAGTCAAGTTGGGGATTGAGATTGTGTGAGTGGGTTATAAAGGAAGGTGACCTCTCAGAGCCACACACACCAGTAGTGGTAGGTTCTCACTTGTGTCATCTGTTAGCCCAGCCCAAACAGACTGGCTTATCTTACAAAGAACCAGTCTAACCTTATGAGGCCAGAAGAGTCTTTTGAGGAAGATAGTTTGAAACCTGAACATAAGATGGAAAGAGTGCATTAGCAAACCTGTGAGGTGATGAAATAGTACACAAAGTGCTCAAACAATGGTGTTACGGGATACGGGACAGAGAACCTTTTTTTTTTTTTTTTTTTTACAGAGAACCAGTTCTGAACTCAAGCTCGGCTGCTTTATTTTTTTTTTAAATTTTTTTTTAAATTTTTATTTATTTATGATAGTCACATACAGGGAGAGAAAGGCAGAGACACAGGCAGAGGGAGAAGCAGGCTCCATGCACCAGGAGCCTGGTGTGGGATTCGATCCCGGGTCTCCAGGATCGGGCCCTGGGCCAAAGGCAGGCGCCAAACCGCTGCACCACCCAGGGATCCCCAAGCTCGGCTGCTTTAAAAATCAATACTTGGGAGACAAGTGATGGTCAGAAAGGAAAGGTTGCTTTATTCAGGAAGCTGGCAGCCTGGGACTATGGTGGACTAACGTCCCAAAGACCATCTTCCCTGTCCAGACAAAGCCAGAAGGTTTTATTTATTATTATTTTTTAAAGATTTTATTTATTTATTCATGAGAGACACACACAGAGAGAGGCAGAGACACAGGCAGAGGGAGAAGCAGGCTCCATGCAAGGAGCCCGATGTGGGACTCGATCCCGGGACTCCAGGACCACCCTGGGCCGAAGGCAGGCACTAAACCGCTGAGCCATCCAGGGATCCGCCGCCAAAAGGTTTTAAAGGGGAAGGTGTGGGACATTGGGGGTTGGAGGTGGGCTACCTGCAGGGGAAGGTGGTGCCCAGGTGGATAGTCATGGACATGACCTTGAACAAACTTGGTGGCATCAGCAGCAGCTGTGCTCCAGTGTGGGCAGGACTCCTCTCCTGGGGAAGTCTGGTCCTTCCCTCCTCAAGGCCTGTGGTCTGCAGATCTCAAGGATAGTAGGTTAGTTTATCTATAGGCCAAGGGACTTAGGTCAGCAAGCAAGGAGTGCATAAGCTTGAGACCTATTGGAGTGGTCTTACAATGAGTTTCCTGACGTAAATGAAGGAAGATGTGAAAATGTGGTTGTGATTATAGCCTGTTGTCTTATACCTATATACTTGTGATATAGATTTAGTTATTTGCAGGTTATGGTGATCTCTTTTGTAAGATTCCCGGTTTGCTTAAGAGAAATCCTTTCTTAACACCAAGTGTGTTAGATTAGGTCACCTATGAGACCACAGCACAGGCATAAATACTGTTACTACTCCAATTTTGTAAATAAGGAAACTGAGTCGTAAAAGGGTAGATAACTTGATCACGGTACACAGCTAGTAGGGGGCAGAGCCAGGCACCAAACCCAGGCAGGCTGACTTTGAGCCCAAACTTTGTTTGTTTGTTTACTTATTTATATGTTACCTTTTTTTTTAGATTTTATTTATTCATGACAGAGAGGCAGAGACACAGGCAGAGGGAGAAGCAGGCTCCATGCAGGGAGCCCGAGGTGGGACCCCAGGATCGTGCCCTGGGCTGAAGGTGGTGTTAAACCACTGCGCCACCCAGGCTGCCCAACTCTGTTCTTTTTAAAGATTGACTGACTGATTGATTGATTGATTTGAGACAGAGAGAGAGAGAGGGTAGAGAGGCAGGGGGAGAGAGAATCTCAAGTGGACACAGAACTAAGTGTGGAGCCTGATCCGGGGCTGGATCTCATGACTGGGAGACCATGACCTGAGTCAAAACCAAGAGGCTTAACCCATTGAGCCACCGAGGTGCCCCTTGAGCCTGAACTTTTAATAACACTGCCCCCATTGCCTTATGATTTCCTGAAGATTGAGTTTGTTTTTGGGGCAGTGAAAATACTCTGTACGATATTATGGTGATATATATCATATATATATTTGTTCAAACCCATTGAGTATACGACACCGAGAGCGAACCCTTAGGTAACCTGTAGACTTTGGGTGATGATGATGTGCCATCATCGCCCTTGGTAAAAAACGTACCATTTTTGTGAGTGGTATTGCTAATGGGGAGACTATGCATGTGTGGCAGTAGGGGTATATGGCAAATCTCTTTGTCTTCCTCTCAATTTTATTGTAAACCTAAGCATGGTCTAAAAAACATAGCCTTTACAAAGACAAAAAATTAGCAGAGTCTCACCCTTGAAAACTTAATCCCTATTTTATATAATATTCCCAAATTATGTCTAGTTGCATTGACCAGTGAATCTCAGTCAAAGATGGGGGGAAAAAGATCTCATTTCCCCAAAGGAAAGGTGTGTGTGTTGCTACTGGTACAGCAGCATCTCTCAGCTACTCGGTGCCCAGGCCTGCTCATGAGCCTAAAAGCTTACCCTTAGGGGCACGAAGCTCTGGTACACAATGCCTGGGTAAGAGGCACCTATTCCTTCGGAGCTTCACGTTACACACTAGCATTCCTGCCTGCAAAGGGAGAGGCATACCAGCACACCTCACCCTCCCCATCCAGCACGTCCCTAGGTGTTTATACAGTTCATTATCTGCCTCATGGATTTTTGGCAATGCCCTTTCTTGGGCCTAGCTTGTTTTCTCACATTCTTCCCACCTCACTTCATCCTTTTTCTGGTTCTTGGCTGCTTCTCCTACTCCCTAGCTGATCTCAGAAACCTTTGATCTCAGAGTAATGATTACAGTCCTGCGGGCGAGCCTTACACAGAAACGGTTGGGCATCTCCCCAGCCACATGCCTGCCTTTTACCGAAGACAATGTCAGAGCAATTCTGGTGAACACTCTGTGCACCCCCGCCACCGTTCCTGCACGTTCTGTGGGCAGGTGGCTCGGAAAACCACAGCCCAGAGCGGGGGGCGGGGGGGGGGGGCTGCAGAGGTCTGGCGTTCATGGGTCTGTAAACGAGGGGCTCTAACAGGATGTTTGTGCTCCTTCCCTAGCTGGCCTGCTGCTGTGGTTCCGCTGGCTGCTCCCTCTGCTGCGGCTGCTGCCCCAAGATCCGACAGTCCCGGAGCACCCGCTTCATGTACGCGCTCTACTTCATCCTCGTCGTTCTTATCTGCTGCGTCATGATGTCAAAGACCGTGGCTAATGAGATGAAAGAGCGTGTAAGTCTGCCTCTTTCCAGCTCTTCCCATTTCCCACGGTTGATGGGGAGGTGGTGTGGGAAACCTTCAGTTAAGGGGATGGAGCCCTGCTGCCCTGGTGTGGTTTGGGGTATCCTTGTTTTCTCTGAACCTTCCTGAAGCCTCCTTGGTGCTTTGCTGCCAAGCAGGGGAGCCATTTAAGGTCTGGAACTTTAGTACAGATACAGTCCAGTGCTTTTGGTGTACTGTGTGTTTTGTCATAGCCTTGTTTTTAGCTGTTCCTCCTTGGATGTACAGTCTTGCCTTGTAGACTTCTGGACTTCCCCCTGTTGTGGCTGCCATGGTCTCAAGTAGCAGTTGTTATAAACTCAGTTTGGTGATATGTCATTTGTAGGTTGGGTGTCTCCAAGGGTGAGAGATGGATTTCTAGCCACGTCTTAGGCAGCGCCTACAGAGATGGGCTTGGTTATGTGATGCTGATGAAGACACGTAGGACCTTATCCTGGACTCTCCCCATAGAAGGCCTTTTCGTCAGCCAGGTGATGGGGGACATTTGGGGTTTTTTGAGGGAGCCCCCCAAAAAACATTTCCCCTCCTAGGTTCTAAACAAATTGACAAAAAAGACTATGGAGTCAGCAGATAGATGCCAGACATCCTCTTTACGCTTCATAAAGCTGATGTGAGACAGTGTGGCTTGGATCTGCAGAGAAATGGGCTTCCCACTATCAGACCCCAAAACGAGTTAGACTTTTCCCCTGGGAGACCCCACTCAAGCACCAGTCTCACTGGGCTGGGCCAGACTTCCCCTACAGAGGTAGGCAGTTTACCAGGAAGAGCAGCAGGCATGTTACAGCTCTTGTCCAAGGAAAGAGGGACAGGAAAGGCTAGCTGTCCAAACCCAGTTTTCCTGGGGCCCAGCTAAATGAGGATGGGAAGGAGGCCAGGAGCAGAGCTCTAATGGAGCCCCTCCACAGTGCAGGTGGCATCAGTAGGAACAGTTTCCGAGCAAGTGTCTGTTCTTCCAACCTTACGCTGATTCTACAGACTCTCTTAAGTACTCTCAAGTGCTTCAAAACAACCAGTTCCTTAAAAGCACTTGATATATTCTTATCTGTTAGGCCCTTTGAAGTCTCCTGTTCGGTAATGCTTTTATAATTGTGGATGTATGGTCTGGAATATAGTGGGGCTACTGTCAAAGCTTTTAAAATTGTGATTCTTGGGCAGCGTGGGTGGCTGTGTGGTTTAACGCTGCCTTCAGCCCAGGGCGTAATCCTGGAGACCTGGGATCGAGTCCCACGTCAGGTTCCCTGCATGGAGCCTGCTTCTCCCTCTGCCTGTGTCTCTGCCTCTCTCTCTCTCTCTCTCTCTCTCTCTGTGTGTGTGTGTGTGTATCTCTCATGAATAAATTAATAAAATTTAAAATAAAATAAAATAAAATTGTGATTCTCCTCTGACTGCTTTAAACATTGGCTCTTTCCTCAGTAAGACACTGCTGTGGGAGCTCCGGGGCAATCAAACTTGTGAAAGATGGAGCTTACCATGCAGGAGACAGGGTGCAAAGTCTCCTGAGGTATAAAACAAGGTAGAAATTACTAAGTGCCAAATAAGCGGATGCATGAAGTGCTTTGGAAATTTGGAGGCAGGGAGAACCAGAGCTAAGGCTGCCACACCAGGCTTCACTCCATGGTGGTGGTAATTAGCACCAGTTCTCTTCATTATACCATGGTTTGATCTTGTATGTTTGTAGCAGAAAGTTTGAGAGGAGGAATACTGAGAGGGCATTTAATCTCCCTCTAGTATCTCCCTTTAGTATCTTTGTTTTTCAGGTAACCTCATGTTCTCTTTCTAAATGCAGCAAGCATTGGTTTGTATCCACCATGGTTGTGGCCAGAACTCTGAGCATGTATCAGATGTCTCTGGTGCAATTCCAGCCGGTAAGAGGTTTTCAGGGTAGGTAGAATTAAGCCTAGATCCAAGAGACAAAACCCAAGACTACAAATATGTAGTGGTGAACCCATCAGAAACATTGTTACTCAGGGGAGGGTTCATTTGGGAGCCCTAGGTAAACCTTTTAGGATATGACTTTAATAGTAGTAATTCCAACATTCAGTTGCCATCCAGATAACCTGCCCCTTGAAACAGTCCTTGACAAGTTCAGCCAGTGTCTGTGATTTCCAAGTCTTCATAGAACATTTAAGAAACAGATGTTGAGTGGTGTCACTAAGGGTCACTTCATGGAAGTGACTTGTGTAATGACGATGACTATTTTAATTGCTAATATTTATTGGGTGAAACCATGTGCCAGGTTTTATTCTGAGCATCTTACCTGAATCCTCTCAGTTCATCACTGCTACACTCAGCTGAGCAGTAGGTGCTGTCATTATTCCTGCCTTACAGATGAGGAGGCTGAGGCACTGAAGCATTGAAGCACCTTGAGCGGTCTCCAGCTCTAAGTGGTCCAGTTGGGATTTGCACCCAGGCTGACTGTGTTCTTAGTGCCTGGGCTGTGTACTGCGTAGGTCGACAGGAGGGAAAAAAAACAAGGACCAGGCGCGTGTAGGAGGACAGAGATGAGATATACATAGGTAAAAAGACTGCAGGAATTCTGGTGCTAACGCTAGGCGTTTGGCTGTGGTCTGATGGCAAGTTGGAAGCCATGCCATTATCAATTCTTGAGCAAGAGTGTGTCCTTATAGAAACAGGTGTTTAGGGAGGTGAGCCCAGCAGTGGTGTGTGTGTGCAGTGTGATTTGAGGTCGGAGCAGGGGGTGGGGGATTGAGCAGGGAGGGGAGAGGGGCAACTCTGACTCCTCACATTGGCTCTTGTAAGTGTTTCTATGCCTGTCTTTTGAATATACGCATTTAAAAATGGTTTGGCTGGACTTTCTGCATAAAGAATGAGGTCCCTGTGGGTGAAACCAATCCTTTTCCATTTCTAAGGCCTCATAGGGTGCAGGCCAGCTGGTCACAAAGTCATCTTGTTTGCAGCCTATAGAATGGAGGCTGACCTCACCCTCAGGCGATGCTCAAGGGTGGTGTTGAAAGATCCCCTTGTGGGGACACTGGGCTTCTGCTGCAGTCCTCGCCCCCACTTTGTTGGACGTGGAAATGTCTGAGGCTGTGATGGGAAGAGGAGAAAGTGGGTGTGCTGGTAACTGCCCCGATGGGAACATCTAATTGCCTCCCACCCAGCATTCTCACATTTGTATTCAGAGGACGGGGCTCCGTCCAGTGTCACATGGGTCTTTGGTGCGTGGGTTAAGAACACAAGGGCAGCCCTTTTTTTCAGTTACTTTCAGTTTTTGCCTTGTTTTCAAAACGTGGCCTATGTTTAAATGTGAGCAGGAGGAAACTGCAGGGATCTGCAGAGCCAAACTTCATCCCGCCTCCTTTTCTCTAGGGAAACTCCTTATTCCCATGAGAACATTGGCTCAGAGCAAACTGTGCCAGTGCTGGTGGTGTGGAGTGGGATGCCTGTCTGCTCCTGGAGCACGGTTCTCATCCTGAAATGTAGGAGCCATTTTATGGCAGGTCATTCATGTCATTAAGCATGTAATTCATGCAGGTGTAGTCTTTTTTTTTTCTTTTTTAAGATTTATTTATGTATTTGAGAGACAGAGAAAAAAAAGTCCCCAGGAGAATACCCTCCACTGCTGAGTGTGATGGGGGCTTGATCTCATGACCCCAAGATCATGACCTGAGCCAAAGTCAAGAGTTGGAGGCTGATGAACAACATAGGTACCCTAAGCAGGTATAGTCTTGATGTGGTTTTGGAATGTTGGTGAGATCCGGAGCCGACGGCCAAGAAAGAATTCTTCAGACCTCTTTGGTGCAAAAAGGTGGTTTTATTAAAGCCCAGGGACAGAAGCTCTGGGTAGGAAGAGCTGCTACAGCAAGATTGTGGGGAGTAGCTGATTACATACTTGGGAAGTGGGGGAGGTAAGGACCAAAGGAGGTGACCAAAAGGACTTTCATATGGTAAAGAAGACTCTCAGGATGCTGGAGGCATGGCTATTGTCAAGGTTATTTTTCCTTCTAGTAAGGCATTTTAAAAAAATTAAAAAATAAAAATAAGAAACACATTAAAAAAATTTATTTATTTATTCATGAGATAGAGAGGCAGAGACACAGGCAGAGGGAGAAGCAGGCTCTATACAGGGAGCCTGATGCGAAACTTGATCCAGGGACCCGGGATCAGACTGGAGCCAAAAGCAGACACTCAACCACTGAGCCACCCAGGTGTCCCTGGTAAGGCTTTTTTTTTTTTTTTTTTTAAAGGATTTTATTTATTTGAGAGAGAATAAGAGAGAGAGAGGGAGCTTGAGTGTACAAACTGGGGGAGGGGCAGAGGGAGAAGCAGGATCAGCAGACTCCTTGCTGAGCAGGGAGCCCAACCTGGGGCTCTGTCCCAGGACCTTGGGATCATGACCTGAGCCGAAGACAGACACCCAACTGACCGAGCCACCCAGGCGCCCTCTGGGAGACCTTAAGACCGCTGGAGTTTCTGCAGGAATGCTGTATCCCGCCTGCCTCAAGTATTTGTCAGTGGGCGGCAGGTTATAAGGAATTTTTATTTATTTACATTCCCTTCTACCTTTGTTTCCCACATCAGTGTAGAAGGCAGGGTGATGTTAGGGCTCCAGGAAATGGAGTCTACCAGCTTCTGAAGGTTAGGCTTTTGGTTAAGAATGCTTTTTGCCTTGTAAATCACTAAGACATTGTAAACTGCTAGAGACTCAGGTCCTGCCAGACTTTGATCTGTATCACTTACCTGTTTGTTTGCCTTCCTCTTAGCTTTAGGGCAGCCGGAGCCCCGAGGAATGCCACAGGTAGCCCACCTGGGGAGGGGTGCGGGGTGTCAGCTTGTGCTTTGTCCTCTACTTACCTTCTGCTCCCTCATCAGTCTTGAGATATCTGATGCCTAGGGGACTAAAAATTCATTTCAGAAGGTAGGATGGCCAGAAAGACTCCCCAAACCCCAGAGTGAGCTCAGGGTGCCAGGCCACCATAGGAAGAGCCTAA